CACATTCGATTTCATAGATTGTTAGGCACATCCTGCCCAGCCTCTTCTTTTTATAGAGGCATAGAGGGCAAAAGTCTATTCTGGTTCTGAAAGATCACTTCCTATGCCTTGCCATGGGTCAGGCACATTGAATGTGCTTAATAAATTGTTCAATACAATAGCCTCGTGGCACTCTTCTTTCAACAAATATTAACAGTTCTTCTAGAATATGCCAGGCAGACATCTGCTTTTACTGCAACCACATGCAAAAAGACTCATACCACTGGAAGCACAGTCAGGTAGGACCTGGCAGCCTCTGCCCACCGTGGTGGATGCTCCCCGTCTCCAGTGAAACAGTCACCACGAAGCCCTTGGAGTCAGTCAGCGAGAGTCTGGAAGTCTCAATACTAATTGCTGGCTTATGCATCCCTTCTGTGCATATTTTCCTGATGAATAGAGTTATGATTATTTAATTTGTAATGGACCAGAAGGGACTGATTTTTACCATGGCTGATGGCCAAGAACAGAAGATGCTGAGACCAGGAATATTTCAGAATGTATCTCAAAATAAAAGAGAGTAGCCAGGAGTTTTCTTTTCTCGTTGACAATATTGTGGATGCCTCCTTTTCTATTGACATGGAACAGATTACCTCATTTCCTCCTCCCGCTGTCTGGTAGAGCTGAGCACTAAGGCAGGAGTTATCACAGGAATCACAGAGGGTGGAGTTCAGAGAGACCATGGAAACGGACTTCTTTGGGGTAGCGGATCTACAGCACTGGCGCTGCTGTGCTTGAACAACCCACCCACGTCAGACCCTGTTGATCTGTCCTGTGGCATCTCCTTGACTCACTGCTCCAGTTTCATCAGCTTTGGCATGTAAGATCAGACGCACCAAGCCTGCGATCTTGGAAGGATGACTTCTCAAAGCTGCAGGTAGGATCAGAACGAGAACTTGGGTTATCTGCTACCCAAAATATCTTTTCACTCTCTCTTCTGAATGCAAGCTTCCTGAAGATAAGCTTGAAAAATTCCCTTGGGATTTTAGTAGTAGTAGTAGTAGTAGTAGTAGTAGTAGTAGTCGTCGTCGTCGTCGTCTTGGTATTTATTAGTATTCAATCAACATTAAGTTTGATTCCTATTCCGCACCTGTCCACCCAGTCCTGAGTTCAGAACAGACGGCTGTTCTCTGCCCTCTGGAAGCAACTCTGCACCACACCCAGCTCCCCCTCTGCCTTTGTGTCCTTCCTCCTATGGTTTTAATTGCTGAAAATGCCCTTTTTGCTTCTTCTCCAGGATTCTCTGCTCAAAATTCACCAGGATTCCAGCTTCATCTTTATGTAAGATCATCTTCTCCAACAAACATCAACGTCTGCTCTATCTCTCTGATATTTTCTAACATTTTGTTCCACATCAAGATTTTCATTTGACTACTTGTGCACCTGCCTGTCAGCCCCACCAGACTGCAAGCACAGAATCTGGATCACATGTTTTACTTGCTGATGAATTGAAGGTGCCTGGGATTCCAGAGGCTCCGGAGGATACATTTTAGTCAGATTAAATCTAGTTCCTAGGAGTTGCACAATAAAATTTAAAAATCATATAATTTAAAGTTGGAAGGGGGTCTTAGAGATTCTGTGACTCAAGATGGGAAATAGGTTTTACTTTAAGCCTAGTCCCAATCCAATCATAGGGACTTCCCGACCAGCATAGTCAGACAGAGGCAAGGTCCTGCTTCAGCTGGAAAGAGAGCTGCACTTGTTTTGTGAAGTTGGCCAGAAGTGATAGAGGAGGAGTGTGTGTCTCCTCTGCCATCGAGGATTCAGTTCACTTCTTCCTAGTTTATTTTAAAGCCTGCAAGCCATGGTGGATGAGGAGAATTTGGACTGTCACTCTGAATTTGAATGCTCTGCCAAACCTCATCCTCCAGGAACTTCGGTTTCACGGTGTGTGAGATGAGCACACCCGTTCTGCCTCTTCTCTCCTCCCCAGCTCCTTGTGGTCCTGAAAGTATTTTACAAAACCATGAAGCAGTGTATAAATGCATGGTGATCCCATCCCACAGGGCTCCTCCCTCAGCAACCTCAGAAAGAGGGAATTCAGTCCTAAAAAAAAATGATATTCTATGATGGAAGCCGGCCCCTTGTGGGTCTCCCCTGTCCCATGCTCTCCCTAAGCTTCCTTCAATTCCTGGAGTAAACCTCTTCCCAGCTTTCGGCCTTTGCCCCTGCAGCTTAGCAATGCCCCCTGTGCCCGAAACTTCCACAAACTCAAGGGGATGCTGATCTAGCTCTGAGTAAAGAAGTTAATGAAAACTGAACTCAGCTAGTTTCCAGAGACACAGGCCAGAGGAAAAATATACATATTTTTAAATGATGAATATGAGCCAGTAATTGAGATTACTTATTAGTGTCTGGTCCCACACACCCCAGCTCTTCCCTGAGCTGCTCAACCCTTCTTTCCACACGTATTCTCTACACACTCTCCTTAAATTTCCGTTAAGCAGGTCACCATGTCTCCACCTGTTCCCACGCCAGCCCTCCTCCACCTCTCTCTCTCTTCTTCATAGCACTTACCACTGTATGGAAGTGTTACAGCTATGTACCTGCTAAATGTTTACCACTTATCTCCATCTTCTAGAACTCAAGCGCCACGAGGGAAAACACGCTGTTCCTCCTGTGTGCTGCTGTTTCCCCGTGGCTAGGAGTGATTACGAAAGGCGCTCAATACGAACACATTTGCTAAATGAATAAATTGCTTCATCTGGTTGTTCGGAGAATGTCTGCTGAATGAATTAATTAATAATTACTTTTTCTTGGTAGCAACTGGGTATTTTTTTTCCTATTTTAAACTTAAATTGTTTTCAGTTATCTAGGGGATAAATTATTCAAGTTTTTAGAATATCCACCAAGGTTCCTGAAGCTCTCCTGTCAGCCTTATCTCTGCAAATTCAGCTCTTCTTAAAGAGAATAAACAGGGCAGGTAACTCAATCCAATCACAGTAACATCTTCCCTAGCACTTCTGGACAATAAATAAATAAGCTAATTCTCTTGTTGGTGCCAGGGTTGAACCTATATGCTGAAATGAAGCTATTTTCCAAGGACTTTATTTCATTTTCTTTTTTTTTTCCTGTTTTCTCCTACTTTCTCCTACTCTCTTCCCCACCCACATGTAAGCTTAAAGAGAATTAATTTTGCTGAATTTGTCATGAGCCAGAAATGGCAGTTCATTACCCAAGGACAGCAGGAGCAGGGGGGAATCAGGGCAGTAGGTGAGGGTAGGTGAAATATACAGTCATTTAAGAGTGCACAAATTATCCATCTGGCATACAACCAGACTTCCTGACATCTAAACTGTCTCTAATCCCAGTTCTGCTTGGAAGGAGAGGCAGAAACAGATCTGTTCTTCTCTAAAAGTAGAAAACTGGGGAACCCAGAGAGGTGACATGACTGACCCAAGGTCACTTGTCCCTCCTGGTGACCAAGTTCTGCTGTGAAGACAGAAACAGGTCTCCCTAAAGCTGCTATGGCGCTTGGCCACATGTGTGTGATTCTCCTGTCCCTGAATGAGAAGAGAACTATGGAAGAGAAACCACGCTAATAAAAATCAAATCCACCCAGACCCTGTGGGGACAGGCAGATCAGAACAGACTGTTTATTAGTGGTTGAGATGGTGCAGAAAGTGAGAGCATTTATTCGTTATTGGTTTATACTTGCCTAACTCTCTCTCTCAGAGCTGCCCAAGGCTCTTTCTGACTTAATTTTAAAGTTCTAAATTCTCTCATGGACCTTTGTGAACCTGGAAGCATCTAAGAAGCACAACAAAATAGTGGTGGAGGGATTGTGAACAAGGATGATTGCATAAGGTTGGACAGGTTACTTTGACTTGGAGATTGAATGGCTTCCTCCAGCTGAACCTGGAAGGAGGTACAGAATCCAGACCTGACTAACTGCAATGTGATTGGTTCCAAGATAAATACGTGACCCAAGCCAAGCTAACAAGAGCACACCCTGGGACTTCATCAGAATTATTTGTAGATATGCACTCTCTTTGGGATTTCAAACTGTAAGGAATAGAGAGTCTTAGAGTGTGGAATCAATATTCCAAGGTCCAAAAGAAAAAGCTCACTATAGGATGTGGAGGTGGGGCTCATCAAGGCTGGAGGGATTGGGGCTTTTGAAGGAGCATCAGTTGGCACAGATGCTTTCTCTATCCACCTACAACCCCGTCACCATACTTTATTGTGCCCACCCATACATGGCCCCAGAAGTGCACACCTTCCCTGCCAATGGCAGGCACGTCCTGCTCGACCCTCCGTGGGATACAGCTCTGACAGTACCTCTCACAGTCTCTCCTGCACCCTTACTTGCTCTCGCCTCTTGTGCTTTCTGACCTCCCAAGGGGTTTTTCCATCCTAACTCTGTTCCTCTCAGACTCTCCCTCACATTGATCCTGACCTCCCGCCAGCTCCAAGCCTGGCCCATTGCTTCCCTTCCCACCCCCAGGGGCCCTAAGTTTTCTCCATACAGAGTTTGGTATAATCCAAAGAGAAGAAGCCCAAGTGGTCAATGAGGGGCAGATACTGAGGGTCCTGGTGAAATGTCAGTTCTACCTCGGGAGAGATGGGGAAATGCTGAAATAGATTTCAACAGGGCCTTCAACTGAGAACCGTCTTCATACAACTTTTCTGTCCCTCCCTGTCACCTTGGGTCTTTTTGTTGCCCCTTGCCCTTGTCACTCTTGGGTCCACACATGTGAGCTCTGTGACTCTAATTCTTTTTTCATCTTGAAATTTGATCATCCTTCATCTTTGGAGCCCTGGGAGCCTGACCGACTTTAAGGGGCTTGGAAGGGCCTCCGGAGGCTGGTCATAGGCTTACATGACTTAATCAGTGTCTCCATGAAATTCCCAGGGTCTGCCAGGGTCCTCACATTTTTTAGGTGTCTTTCATGGGCTGCACTTACATCTTAGGTGCTATTGACCTAAGGTAGCATTTTAAAGCTCTAAATTTTAAAGTTTGAAGTTCTAAATTTTTGGAACCAATTCTCTCCTTCCCTCCTTAAAACCTTTGTGAACCTGGAAGCATCTAAGAAGCACAACAAAACGGTGGTGGAGGGATTGTGAACAAGGATGATGGCGTAAGGTTGGACAGGTTACTTAGACTTGGAGATTGAATGGCTTCCTCCAGCTGAACCTGGAAGGAGGTACAGAATCCAGACCTGACTGACTCCACTTGTGATTGGTACCAAGAAAAACACGTGACCTGAGCCAAGCTAACAAGAGCACGCCCTGGGACTTCATCAGAATTATCTGTAGATATGGGCCCCCTGGGTACAAGGCCTCAGGACATTCTGTTCCCCTCAGCGGGAATGCTCTTCTACTCCTGTCCCCCCCAGCTGGTTAAGGCTCCTCTCTCTGACAGGACTTGTTTACAAGTTACTTCCCCTGGAAGGCTTGCCTTTCTCCATCTTTATCTTTCATCCCCAGGCTGAGAGTCAAGATGACAGTGAAAGTTCTAAGAAATGGGGCCAGGATCCAAGAAGACCTGAAAGCAATTACTGCCCTACTGGGGTAGGAAGGGAAGCAATGGGCCACGGCTGGAGCTGGAGGGAGGTCAGGATCCATGTTAGGGAGAGTCTGAGAGGAACAGAGTTAGGATGGAAAAACCCTTTGAGCGGAGGTCAGAGGGACAATAGGTGAGAACAAGTGAGGGGTACGGGTGAGATTGTTGAGGTACTGTCAGAAAGTTCTACCTTCTCCTAAAGTAGAACCCGACCTCTTCACAATGACACTCAGTATCTGCCCTCATGGACCATTCGGGTCTACATCTTAGTTGCTACTGTTTTCTACTTTGGATTATCACATTTTTGTTGGCAGGTCTCTGTTACTTGGCTGGCATGTTTCTCATTATTCTCAGTATCTCTCTTGGTGATCCTTCATCTATAAGACAATCCATTGGAACCAACTCTCTCCTTCCATTCTTAAAAGCTAAAACTCTTAAGTTAAAATTAGAAGATTTTATGCATTTGTCAAGCCAAGTTTTACTTGGAACTCAGTGAAAAACAGATGTGATCATCCATTGGGTTTGGTGTATATCAATCATCTCATCTTGGCCAATGAGATGTAAAGAAACATGGAGGCTGGACTTGTAGGGCAAAACCTTAAAACTCATTGGGCAAGGTAGATTTAGCAGGGTATACTTCTTCTTGACATTGACAAGACAAGGGATGAGATTACTTTGTGACGGTTCAGGAAACCACATTCACTTAGGGAAATAGAGGCCCAAAAGAAATTCAGTGACAGACTCAATATTTAATAATACTGCCCATACACAGGTCCTATATTGGGAACTATAAACAGAGTTATAAAGTCCCATTCTAGGATTAGAGCAGGGAAAAAGACCTACAGACGGCAAGAAGGAAAGACACACAAACATTCTTTCACTCTGCCAGTCATTGTTTTATGCTTCTTGTAGAAGAACAGCAGAGACTAACACACAGTTCCAATCCTTGGTGTATGCAGGTGGATGGAGACATCAATGTTCTGACTGAAGGGATTGATTTCTAGAAAGGACCTATCTTACTGTTACAATGGAGAGTCAATGACAAACTTAAATAGAAAATTGACTTTGGTATGGCTTTAGAAACATTGTTCTGGTAGTGTTGTAGAAAATAAACAGCAGAGGTCAAGAGGGAGTTTGGTAGATGAGAGAGAAGGTTGTTTCAGGGTTGAGGGTTAGATATGACAGCCCAAAGGGCTGTCAGACCCAGTTGAGGATCTACCCCAACTGGTTTTGAGAGAAATATAGAAGCTAAAACTTTAGGACTTAAAGAATGAGGGGATATGTGGTATATGGAAGACCAAGGAATCTGTAGGATATAGCAATACAGTGTTGTAAGCACTACACAGGGAGGAAACTGGTCAACCAAATATGGCATAGTGGCCAGGCCCAAGCACTGCAACAGGTGCATGAAATCCTTGTCTTAAAATGCTTAGGTGGAGAGTTCAGAGGAATGCAGGCAGGCATGACAGCCTAAGAAAAGCAGAAGGAGTGTAACTGGTCAGAGGAGCATATGGAGCCAAAGACTGGCTTAGGTCTGGAGGAAGGTTGTAAAATCCTAGTTTGGAGTTTAATATACTGGCAATAGTGGATTTTAGGAAGTATAGAGAAGTGGTCAAATGAAATGTGAGCTTTATATGTCACTCTGGCTGTTCTTTGGAGGATGAGATTAAGAAGAGAGTGGTTAAAGGTCTACCTTTAAGCTATTATTATAGTAGTAATTATGAAGGACTAACTTTGGTAATGATAATAGCCTGAACAAAAAGGAAGTAGTAAACACATGAAATGTTAAAAAAAACACAATGCCAAAACTTACTGAACTTACTGAAGAGATCAAGAATAACACCTTTGAAACAGACATTATTACCTTATGTACATATATGACTGCATGAAAGATGTCATTCTACAACATGTACAATTAGAAAAATGAGAAATTACACCCCATTTGTGTATGATACATCAAAGTGCATATATACATTCTACTGTCATGTATAACTAGTTAAAACAAATGATAAATTTTACAAAAGGAATAACATATGTGTTTGTGATTTGGGTGACAGATTGGATGGTCATGACATTAATGAGATAGGAAAATCATGAGTTTTAAAAGAAGATTTCTTCTTGTTTAAGCACATTGCTCTTGAAGTGTCCATGGGACATTCAGGTGTAAACATTATAATTGTAGTTGTGGGTCCAGAACTGGATATTGAGATA